CCCCCCTTCACACACCTCCACCCTGCACATCCCTCCCATCCACATCCCCCCCTTTAGTTTATGTCCATGTGTCATAAGTTCTTTAGCTCCTACATTTCCCATGCTATTCTTACCATCCCCCTGTCTATCTTCTTCCTACCATCTATGCTACTTATTCTCTGTACCTTCTCCCCCTCTCCCCTCCTCCCACTTCCCTGTTGCTAACCCTCCATGTGATCTCCATTTCCGTGTTTCTTTTCCTGTTCTAGTTGTTTGCTTAGTTTGTTTTTGTTTTATGTGTGGTTGTTAATAATTGAGTTTGCTGTCATTTTACTGTACATATTTTTTATCTTCTTTTTCTTCTATAAGTTCCTTTAACATTTCATACAATAAGGGCTTGGTGATGATGAACTCCTTTAACTTGACCTTACCTGAGAAGCACTTTATCTGCCCTTCTATTCTAAATGAAAGTTTTGCTGGATAGAGCAATCTTGGTTGTAGGTCTTTGGATTTCATGACTTGGAATACCTCTTTCCAGCCCCTTCTTGCCTGTAAGGTCTCTTTTGAGAAATCAGCTGTCAGTCTGATGGGAACTCCTTTGTAGGTGACTGTCTCCCTTTCTCTTGCTGCTTCTAGGATCCTCTTCTTCATTTTAATCTTAGCTAATGTAATTATGATGTGCCTTGGTGTGTTCCTCCTTGGGTCCAACTTCTTTGGGACTCTCTGATCTCCCTGGACTTCCTGGAAGTCTATTTCCTTTGCCATACTGGGGAAGTTCTCCTTTATTATTTGTTCAAATAACTTTTCCACTTGTTGCTGTTCCTCTTCCTCTTCTGGTGCCCCTATAATTTGGATGTTGGAATGTTTAAAGGACACAGAGATCTTAAAGGATACACTATTCACATAAATACCAATGTTGTTCATGTGTTGATAAAGGGCACAGAGAATCGATTGTATCACTCAGAACATTTGGAATGTATTCTGGACCACGGATTTTTAAGTTATTCAATTTATCCTCATATCTGTCTTATAGATGAAAAAGTTTCATCATCTATTTCTAAGCATTTTAAATTATTTTAAATAATCATTTTGCAAAATAACATTAAGTATAAGTTATATGAATCGAATGCTTCTACACCAAGGATTACCAGCCACCTTCTCAATTAGACAACGAGGTAATGCTCACAATATTCAGCCTTTACTGTCTACGTAACCTCCCACAGAATGCTGAGGTGTGACGGCGTCATACTCTCACATGCCCAGTGGGCGAAAGCAACAGATAGGCTCAGAATCACTCTCCTCAACAAAGAAGTCAAGAGAAAGATTTCAAGCAACTTTTATTCAAAAGCAAAATGAGTAAGAACATAACAGGACACTAGGCATGTGGACTGGTCTGAGCAACCGACGCCATTGGCACCAAAAGCATCAACACCCTTCATGACACTGAAGCTCCTACACAATACTTTATGCGCTTAAGAGGTCAAACATTTGAAATTGAAAGAAGCAAGCTAAATGATAACACTTAATTTCTGCAATCTGAAAAACTCAGTATATTCTACAGTGGCTTTCAGCTGTAATTTTGTAGAGAGCACAAATGACTTCATTTTAAGATCTTATGACAAAAATCTCATGAGCTAAAAATATTAACTATTAAACTTTATGTGTGTACAAAGCCTTCTAAATTAGTTCTGAGAACCATTTAAAATGCACACTCTTCAAAGTGATATTACTTTAACTTCAGTCAAGGATTTAAATAATGCACAGAAAATTTGGACCAAAGTCATTTGCCTATTCAAAGTATGAATGTGTGTACACATATATATACACACACATATACATATCTACACATACACGCACATGTTAGTTTCTGGGTAATGAATATACAAATATATATTTGCATGTGTGTATAAATGTACATATATATACAGTTAAGACTTCCCTAAAAGAAATACATTTCTATGAATAGAAAAGTATAAAAAGTGATGAAACTACGCTTCTCTACAATTTTCTTACAAGCAGTGATATAGGAACTTAAGCTTACAAATGCTTTGTTTTGAAAGCTATATTATTAGACAAACATTAATGACCGAAAATCTCTCTTAAACTATGTTTTTATAAAATGAGATAAGCAGGTTGTATGTCATATACAACCCAAGTATAAAGCTTTCCTAATAAGCATTGCACACAAATAAATCAGATTTCATTAAAATAACTTTTACACAGAACTAATGATTTCCACTTAAGACATACTAAACTTTGATTTGCCATAGAATACAGATAACTTGTTTTATTCACAAAGGAACATGGAAAATATTAGAGGTTAAATACTGTGGAGTTCTTAAATGCTCCTGTTTCAGTAATTCAAAGCAAACTACTACATCCGGTGAAAGGTGAATTTTAGTCAATTTCCAAAAGCAAAAGTCCACCCAGCAAAAATATTTAAAAAGTTTCTGTTCTCATTTGAGCTCCATTTCCCCAAATACATTATGGTCATTAACAGCAATATACAGAAATGAACCACAACTTGATCACTTAGTGTGTTTCTACAAGCTTCCAAACAAAACTAATCCCTCAGTCTACAAGTGCTAAGTTCAATTTTATATTCCACAAAGGACTGTTACCCTAAAATGTGTGCAAAAGAATGCTAGTTCTAAATGTTGCTCCATATAATGTTTAGAAATGATATTTGTAATATATATTCTTTAAAAATTCTGAGTTCTGCAATTGCCCCACTCAATATATTTGCATTAAAGAAAATTGACTGTAACCCAATATTTTCAAAAGGTACTTAATCTCAAACTCTTCTTGCTGGTTAACAGTCAGCCAAGTTAATATTACTCATATTAAATGTTGAGAAACTATGAGAATTCTTATGAGATGCCATTAAGGACCTATTAAAAATTATATAGTAAAAGAAGACTGCTTAGAAATATTTAAAAGTTAAGTTGATATAGAAGACAGATATAAATACAAAATGCAAACAATAAAAGATCACTAGCTTGTTAATTGGCATGACAAAGCATCAACTAGTTTATTACATTGTTTCAAAACATTTCTTCATCCCTCTTGTGTCCATTGCTTCCTTCAAACCCTCTTCACCATAGACAGGTGGTGAATTTAAATCTCTTCCAAAGTGACTTTTCCATCGTAGTCCCAAATTTAACATGCATGTGATTCATTCTGAGATCTTATTGAAAATGCAGGTCTCATTTAGCAGGTCTAAGGTGAGGTCTGAAATTCTTCATTTCTAACAAGTTCCCGAGTAATACTGAAGTAGCTTAACTGTACTTTGAATAACAAAGATCTAATCCATTCTGCAAGCCGCTGCCCTATTACTGGTCCTAAAATAACACTTAGCTCATGTTACTGCCTCAGGAATGTATTATTAACTCAGTGAATCTTATACAAACATTTACACTCAATTTCATCAGATTTTCAATAAATGATTCAATGTGCATTTCACAAGTATACACACCTGTGTAGCCAATGCTTTCCCCCAAAAATTATGACATTGCCATCACCCCAACCCTGTTTTGACCCAGCTCTATAAATACCCTAACCACTATTCCGCTGCCTTCCACCTGTACTTCAGGACTCAGCTGAAGCCCTTCCTTCTTCAACATATACCCCAAATTACTCACAGGCCTCTATCTAAATCACTACTACATTAATTTCCCCCTTATCCATGGGACATATATTCCAAGACCCCAGTGGATGCCTGAAACTGGATAGTACCAACCTTATACATACTGTTTTTCCCTCTACATACATGCTTTTCACTTAGAGGGAGCACTTTGCAGATTCTCTTTGGCTTATCCCAACTGCCAGCATCGCTACCCTTGCCTTTGAACACAAACGCTGAGACGCCACAACAGTGGATCTGCTGCTGAGACAGGAACTAAGTGATTAATAATAAGCAGAGTGTAAACAGTGGGGATATGATGGATGAAGAGATGATTCACATCTCAGGCAGGACGGAGCTGGGCAGTGCAAGATCTCATCACGCTACTCACAATGGTGCACAACTTGAGTTATTACTGGAATTTCCCATTTAATAATTTCAGACTGTGTTTGACCACAGGTAACTGAAACCATGGAAAGCAAAACCCCAGATAAGGAGGAACTACTTTACTGTTATGACCTGGCCATCACCATCTCCCCCTGAACAAAAGTAGTGGGCTCCTCACACATCTCTCTACCTCTGCCCCTGTCCCTTCCCCAATGTTATCCACAGAGGCATCAGTGATCTCCGAAAATTATAAATCGAACCAGGTCACTCTCTCACTTAATACTCTCCAAAGGTCCACTAACACAGCTGAGATAAACCCAAAAGCTTTCCCTGCACTCGTGTCAGAAGTCCCCCTTCTCTGACCTCATCTCTTACTCCTTTCTCCATTACTTTCCAGACTCCGGCCATAGGAACCTTCTCTCTGGTGTCACAACACAGCGAGACGGTCCCACTCCAGGGACGCTGCATTAATTATTCCCTCTCCCCTCCCCCACCACGTTTCTGTTACTGGCTACTTTTTGCTATTCAGAGCTCAGCCTCCAAGTTACCTCCTCACAGAAGACTTCACTGACCACAAAGTCTAAAGTAGACACTCAGTCACTGCCTAATACAAACCCAACTTTAATTTTCTGTGTAGTATCTATTATTGACGTGTGTCTTATTCATGTGTTCATCTGTCTCTTATCACAAAAACATAAGTCCCAAGATTACGGAACTTGTCGATACTGTTCCCAGCTGTAACTCCAGCACATGCGACAGTGTCCAGGTCATTACAAATAGATGCTCAACAAATGTTTCCTAAATAAATGTTACCACACATGATATATATATATATACACTATGCAGATGGAATTGTGTCTGTGTCTCCATACAAAACACGACATAAAATTTTAAAGAGAATAAGAAAGCTACTGCTAGTCATAAAACAAGGTAAATCCTTCATAAGAAAGAAACGGAAGATAAGAAATGCAGCTTGAATTCAGAACAAAAGTAATAAAAAACACAGATGAAGTCAAAGTTTAATCACATGAACTTTAATCAGTCAAGTTAATGAAAATATCAAAAATTAGAGCTAGGGTATGGCAGCAGACATTGAAATTTTGTTGCAAATAATACAGTATCTGGTGTTTCCACTGCTGACCACTACGCAGCAGAAAGAGCAATTGCATTGAATCTTAACTCATCGGGGTCTCGTTCCATAAACTTCTTGCAAACTTCTATGGCATCCTGTGGGGAAAATGTGAAATGTTTCAGTTCATAGGCATGTGCTTTACTTACAAATGATAAGTGTTGCATATTTTCCTAATTCATACTAATGTTACACTGCAGACTTATTTCTCCAAATGAAAAATGATTCAGAGCACAGAACAACAGTTGGTGGACTAATTAGCTTAGTGTAAAAGTATAAGATAGAGTCAGTATTCTTTCTCAGAACGTTTTCAAGAAATTGTTAACATGACAATTACATGTTTCATTGATTCTAAGCCATACAATTTGGTCATAAATTTAAAAATCTCTGAAATTAGCATCAAGATACAAATGATGGTATCTTGGATTTAATGAAATATGGAACACAATGTGCAAGTCTTTCAAAACTACTCTTGTCTTTTTCTAATTTGGTACTTGTTCACACAAAGAGCTTTGAAAACTTCTTTATTTGATGTAGGTTAACACTAGCTCAAATTTTTCTTTTTTGGATTTTTTTTTTCCAAGAGAGCCAGGAAGTATCCCAATACAGATAAAATATTATACAAGTGATCTTCAGAGATGTTTCACAAATAAGAAGAACATCAGTAACACTTGGAGTGGGCCAACAAGTTCTACTGTTACCTCTAACAATGTTTCATCACTAGTTTCACCGTGGTTAATCGGAAACGGTTTCCGTCCATCTGCAAAACACAGACAGCTGAATGACTAGCTGCTTGCACAACACGACGCACTCTGACTTCCCCCTCCTCTTCTCACGGTGAGGCGAAGGCTAAATGGTATTGAAAATGATCCCTCCTAAACCAAATACTTTAAATGTGCTACCTATGAATATTTTTAACGTTGAAAGTCACCAGAATCTTGTTTCCGTGTTTGAAAGCCTACATTATCTTCATAAACACAGTTTATTGGAGATACATATTGGTTTTAACTTCCTAAAAAGAATATGTAAACTTAGTAAGTCAGACTCTTATAAAGTTACAATCCCAGTTTTTACCTTCAAAAAACCCTCTTTCTTCCCTTTAAAAGTGAAAGTGGAAGGCTTCTACGTAAGACTGCCATGTTCACATCAAGGAGAGGGGGCCGCCACGGTTTGCGTGTTACCACCAACTCTGCTCCACCGAGCGAGCCGTATATGGCAAAAATCTAAGTAAACAGGGTTTCTTTCCTGACAATCAAAAATAATTAACCATGATTATAATCACCTGACTAAACTAGTACTTTTTTTAATGCTGTAAAAAAAAAAGTCCAGAATTTATCATATAAATTCATGCTATCCAAAGTAACTAACTGATACTCCACACTTGGTGAGACAAGAGAAGGTTTACAGTTGTTTGTTTGGAAAATACTACAATAATTAACAAATAATAATATAAGAATAAACCCTGTATTTCACATACTCACAACTGTAAACTCACTTTTGCCCCACCCTGTGTATCCAAATTTGTAATTTCAGTTACTTGTACGTGGCACTTCAAGTACAATCCACAAAACACAACCCCTTCTACAACTCCATGGCTTCTGAATATAATAAATAAAATTTTTGAGTCAACAGGTATATGTAGTAATACACTTGGACTACTAGATACTACATTTAAAGAAAAATATAGGTGAAAATTAACCAAATGAAAACTAAGGTTACTTAGAAGTGATTTTTTTCTTAAAAACCATATGTTGTTCTCTTAGTCACTATTTTCTTTTTTCATTTTGATTCCTTTAATCTTGTGTAAAAACTATTTTTATATTTTCAATGATGTTGACATTCAATATTGTTAGTTTCAGGTACACAGCCAGTGGTTAGACAATGGTGCACTTTGCTGAGTGTTCCCTGATATTCTCGGTGCCCGCCTGGCACCACACAGTTATTAGAATATTATTGACCATATTCCCTGGGCTGTATTTTCCCCGTAACTATTTTGTAACCACTAATTCGTACTTCTTAGCCCCCTCACCTCCTACACCCGTCCCCCTAATTCTCCTCCATCCTGACAGCCATCAGTGTGTTCTCTGTAAGTATGAGTCTGTTTCTGACTTGTTCATTTATTTTGGTTTTTTAGATTCTACCTATAGGTGAAGTCATATGGTATCTTTCTCTGACTTACTGAACTTAGCATAATACCCTCTAGGTCCATCCATATTGTTGCAAATGGTAAAATTTCATTCTTTTTTTATGGCCAAGTAATATTTCATTGCATACCACATCTTTCTTTCTTATTTATTTATTTATAAATAATCCTCACTCAAGGACATGTTTATTGATTTTGAGAGAGAGAGAGAACATGCATGTGAGAAACATGGATTGATTGCCTCCTGGGGATCAACCCACAACCCAAGTGTGTGTCCTGACCAGGAATCAAATCCACAACCTTTTGTTGCATGGGACGGTGCTCCGAACAACTGAGCCACCTGACCACTTCTTTGTCCAACTATATGTTGATGAACAATTTGGTTGCTTCCATATCTTGGCTATTGTAAATAACACTGCAATGAACATAAAGATGTGTATATCTTTTCAAATTAGTGTTTTGGATTTCTTAGGATAAATACCCAGACGTGGAACTGCTGGTCCGTAAGGTAGTCCTGGTTTTAATTTTTTGAGGAATCTCTGTACTGTTGTCCATGTATAATCCCACCAACAGTGGCTGAGGGCTTCCTTTTCCCACATCCTCATGAACATAAATCTTGTTGATTTATTTATGATAGTCCGTCTGACAGGTGTCAGATAATACCTCATTGTAGTTTTAACCTGCATTTCTCTGATGATTAGTGAAGTTGAGCATCTTTTCATATCTCTATTGGCCATCTGTGTGTCCTCTTTGGAGAAGTGTACATTCAGGCCCTCTGTCCATTTTTGAATTGTGTTTTTGTGTTTTGAGCTGTAAATGTTCTTTGTATATTTTGGATACTAAACCCTTATTGGATGTATCCTTGGAAAATACCTTCAATTTGGTTGCTTTTTCATTTTGTTGATGGTTTCCTTTGTTGGGCAGTAACTTTTGATGTAGTGCCATTTTTTTTGTTTCCTTTGCCCAATGAGATATTTTTTAAAAATTACTAATGTGTAATATTGAAGAGCACATTAACTAAGTTTGCTTCTATGAGTTTTAAGCTTTCAAGTCTTATATTTAATTCTTTAATGCATTGAGTTTATTTTTGTATATGGTATAAGAAAGTGGTCTAGTTTCTTTTTTTTTTTTGCATACATCTGTCCAGTTTTCCAACACCATTTACTAAAGAGACTGCCTTTACCCCACTGACTATTCTTGCCTCCTTTGTTATATACCCTTCTTGTTCAATACTCCTTTTGAATTTATTAGGAATCCACATTACAGTTACTGTCCATTTCCCTTGAAATTGCCCGTCTTCATTTGTCTTGTACTTATCCCTGTTCTCTCTGACATCTCAAAGATTATGACTTTTCTTTGGAACTCTGAAGCTCTTTAAACTCATTTGAAGACTGTAATCCCCAAAGGGCTCCAATTCTCTATCAGCTGTACTGATCATTCTTCTTGCTAAAGAACAACTAAACCAAACTAGATCTCACTAGTTCTGCCTTTCTTTTCTGATGTTCTTATTTCAAATCAACTTTAAAATCCTTGTGTTGATCTTGGCATGCTACAACAGAGGACCCTTCTTCATATGTAGCACACACCTGACATGTTTTCCCTCTAGTGCTAGCTAACCAGTCAAACAGAGTTTTTTAGACAACTCTCTGCTTCCCATTGAAATGATCAGAGACTTTTTCCCCTAAATATCTTTTCAGTGTTATAGTTTGTTCTATTACTAAGTCTCTCAGCCTCAAAGTCACCATTGCCTTTTAGTCCCTGGTTATGGATCATGTTTATCATTTCTCTGGCCTTTTCTAAATCTATTTCCTTGAAGTCACCGGAATGTGTCTAGTAAGTCTCAGCACTCTCTTCATTCCCATTTCTACTACTTGTTCTTTATCACTCAAAATTCAGAATGGAAATGAAGTTTCCAGCAATCAGTCACATAACTGAAAACCCCAATCATTATTATATCCTCTCTATATAGAAATTTTATAAACTGAATTAGCAAAGCATTGTCTTCCAAAATGCTCAGCAGGTCTGTTATATACTCCCATCACAATTTCATTTCATTTTACTTTGGTTCTTACTTAAATCATTCTACTATAGAAGACAACCTTCTAGGTACACATTTTTATAAATATTACAGTATTTCACCCCGTCTGGTGTGGCCCAGTGGGTTGAATGCCAGCCTGCAAACCAAAGGGTCACTAGTTCTATTCCCAGTCAGGGCACATGCCTGGGTTGCAGGGCAGGTCCCCAGTAGGGGACATGCAAGAGGCAACCACACACTGATGCTTTTCTCCCTCTCTTTCTGTCCTTCTTCTCCTCTCTATAAAAATAAATAAATAAAATCTTTAAAAAATATACTATGGTATTTCTTTGTCTCCTTTAATAAAGCCATTTCTTTTTAATAAAGTATATGATTTTGTTGCCATATGCCAAATGTATAAAATCCATCTAAATTTTATGGACCACATTTATCAGTTGTAGTGAGTCTTTTCTTTCTTTTTTCCCCCCAAAATTTATTTATTTATTTTTAGAGAGAGGGGAAGGGGAAGGAGAAAAAGAGGAAATGAAACATCAATGTGTGGTTGCCTCTCACATGGCCCCCACGGCAGACCTGGCCCGCAACCCAGGCATGTGCCCTGACTGGGAATCAAACTGGTGACCTTTGGTTTGCAGCCCACACTCAATTCACTGAGCTATACCAGCCAGGGCCAAGGCCTTTCAAAACTCTTCATCTTTAACCTATACGAATGTCTATCTGTTGTGCTGTACACCTGAAACTAATACCAAAAAAGTGTTGAATAAAAACTATAATCAAAAATTTTTTTGTTTAAAAAACTCTTTGTCTTTAAAGAAAATAAAAGTGGCAAGGTAATAATGAAAAGCAGTTCACTTTTTTGTTTCTTTATTTGGCCTTTTTTTAACCAAGGAGAAGGACAAGAAGGATTCATGAGAACTACAGTACTACATATCAGTTGTGAAGGAATCTTAAGAAGTTCTCTGTCTGGATGAAACAATTAAAATTATGAGGATTTCCTCCAAATAGTCCCCAAAATAGCCTACCTACAGTTAAAATTACAAGAACTAAATGCAGTCATAGGCCAAAATACTAAGTAATTAGTCATGGGTACATGGGTACTCTGACATACACCTTAAGAAGGAATTGCCAGAAAACATAGACACCCATAAAATCTCTTTTAAAAAGTCAGATGCAGTGCAGAGGGACAGCACAAAAGCCTAAAAACCAGTGATACTCATGACCAAATACAAAAACTAGTCATGAATAGTAATGTGTTAAAACTAGTTTCAGGATCAAGATGGCTCAGGAAGATGCTGATGATAACTATCTCAAAAACTTAGTAGAGACTGCTGAACTAACGGATGTGCGGGAGCTTCCCGTAGTGACTTTTACTTGACCGCTTTGCTAAAATGCAGAGGTGGCAAACGTTCCTGAAGTCTAAGTGCCTGAACACCAAAAACCATTTCTTATTTTCTAGAAAGTCCTAAATGAAAAATTTCTCATTATGTCATCAATTAATTTAAGCACACCAAATATCAACAGTCCTGTTAATCATAAATACACACTTTCCCATTTCCAATTTCTCTCCCCAGAATAAATTTTAGAAGTTCTTACCTAATTCATAGAGATGCCCATCTACATGAACTAATGCAATAAAATGAAGATCTACTTTTTCATCTATACTTGGTGCCTGGAATGGGAGGAAAAATACATACAGTATATGTTAGTAGACAAATAAATCAATCGAGTACATGTAAACACATATAAATACTATCAAACGACACAGAGAACATTTATCCAAAATAATTCAAGACTTAACCTTTGATATGGTGGACAAGTAAATATGTTTACATTTATAAAAATGTGCTCACCCATCAACCAGAAAAATGTTGACTTCAAGAATATCTTTCTTAATCTCAATCATCTGGAAGCCTATAGTTCTGTTCACCCTCAAAGCCCCCGTGCTTAGCACAATGCCTGGTATATAGCAGATGTACAATGTAAACTTGCTGGATGAAATGGATGCATGAAGCCATTGGTCTAATTTTTGAAACTTGAAAAAATAAAGTCTTTTCAATTTAATAACAGCATAAACAGAGTTAAAAATAAAAACCTTTTCAATTCTAAAGACATCAAGAAAGGGAATTCTCTTAATGACTTCCCCTTGGTAATCTCATCTTCTGAGTAAAATAAGTATCTTTATTCATCCTAAATTCAAAAGGTTTAAAATGGACCTTTAAAAAAAATGAATAGATGCAGGAATATACCCCAATAGATTAAAGGGGAAAAGTAAGAATGAGAACAAATTAAAATACAATTAACTGTAGCCTGTGGCTTTTCTCTTGCTTTCTTAGTAAACTATTTGAAACTAAAACTATACCAAGGTTTTTAGAGATTACCAAATCAATCTGCATGAGCAGCATCTGCTACCTCTGTTAAACATTCAACTTACGCCAAGTCAGTTCATGACGCCCTGACACTGTCTATAATACACAGTAACTGCACAGTTAACACAGGTGTGTGTTAGCTATATATCAAATCTTAATGGTTTGAAGTGAAATACAATCAGTATTAAATGCAAGTACAAATTTTAGGGGCAAAAGTTGTAAACAGGCATAATTCAAATTACATCTCATCTTATTTAACATCCTATAACACAATAGCACCTTACTTAACTCTGAAATTCATACTTTTCACCCTTTAGTAATCATAAAATTTTAAGTTAACATGAAGTTTTCAGGCACAGAAATCGAAAGGCCCAGAAAAAACATAATTATCTTGGATTTACTGAATGTTTTTGAAACATTTACAGATAAAGTGATTTATGTGATCTCATTCTACTCTTCCAAAATGATTTTCCTCAAGTTTATGAATGAGTGCACCACACACAAAAAATGGTGGCAAACTAGCTCTTTCCAAGTTCAATATGTAACTAAAGAATTCTGCAGCCGGTAGGAATCAAAGTTACCTGGTTTTACTGCCCTTAGACTCCTCTCTCTCACGGTCCCTCCAGCGACCAGGAGCTGTTACTAGGTTTTGTTAGTGATACCTCATACTGAGACTGAAGTATGTTTCTCAGTGCTTTCCATCATTTTATAAAAGGTCTAATAGCTCCTGAACATGATATTTCTTCAAGTAATTAAAGATGGTGATATTGAGTTCCCTTACTTCCTGATCAGAGAATCAAATATACCAGTGATCACTCAGTCCAATACCTTCATTGTACCAATGACCGGAAGCAAATCCAATTAGCCTTTTACAAGACTAAAGCTTAGGCCATTCTATAAACTATAAATTCAATTCTATTTAAAAGTGCTAGAAAGAATTCTTTAACCAAGTAGGAAAAGAGTCTTGTTATCTCATTATAAGACATAATTCTCCAACAGAATATAAAGTATTTTAAATCTTTTGAGCTATTATATTTTCAAAAAAATTAAATTATTTTAACACCATCTCTTCTTAAGAATAACGCATCTTATAGCTCCCATTTTTCATATTTTGCCAGTAAACCTAATACAGGTATGCTACAGATAAAAGTAGTATAATTGGAGTCAGAGGCCTGAATATGTACCCGTTCCCTGTGAACACTGATTTTCTTGTTTTGAGGTTTAAATGAAATGTATTAAAGTAATTTGTAAACTGTTAAGTGCTACTAAACATTCTGTATTATTCCAATATTAATACTGCATTATCACAAATGTAAGAAATCACTAAATCTGGCAACTCAAAATTGGGTCAGCACCTGGTCTGAGCCTTTTCCTTTGGTCTACTTTAACTCGTCTGAATGTCTGAAATGTGCAATTATCCACTGCTTAAAAACCTGAAATTATCCATTGCTTAAAAGGTATTCGACACCAAAACATAAATAAATAAAAAGCAAATTCCAATAAGTTTTTAATTTCAAAAAATGACCAGTAACTAAACAACAAGGCAAAACCTGGAAGTTATAAATTGGGTAATTTTTGCTTATATTAATTAATATTATTTTTATAAAGTTCCCTAATTTAGAATAAAATAGTACTTATCTCAAAGAATTAAGAATATGACATATCTATTCAATAGCAGTTAAATATTACATAAAATTTCAAATTTTAGAAAAGTATAGTTTAAATTTAATCTATAATTATACGGTACTTAAAATATACCAGGCACTGTTCTAAGTGCTTTATATGTACTCACCAATTAACTGTCATACAAAGGTAGGTAATGTAATTGCACCCATTTTATTCTCAAGAAAACTGAGGCACAGAAGCATTAAGTAACATGCTCTAGATCACAAAGCTCGTAAATGATGGAATTTGGGTTCAGACCTAGGCAGTGTCATTCTAGAATCCATGTTCTTAACCCAGACTATGAATATTTATGGAACTATAAAGCAATGGAATTAATATGGAGCAAAGATCAGTATCATATAAAAATATATAAACCTGAAAAAAACAATTTTATGACATGTCCATTTATATTTAGAATATTTTAAGTACAAAGGAATTTATACATATTTAAAATCAACTGTGCCCAAGCAGAATTTGCAAAGTTAGGGTTTTACTCTGATCCTTTAATTCACCTTATATCTCCTACTGTACAAACTGGCACAGCAAGGAAGCAACGAATATCAAATGATAAATGAACAAAAATGACAAATGCACATTGTGACCCAATGAGGACAATGGAACAGAGAAACACCGGTTTGCTGATACTCGGCACAAATGAAAGTCTTTTTTGATGACCATACTGTTACTCGGTGGAAGCAGATGTTTACAGAAAAGTGCCAAGACTCCACTTCATAATTTGAGTGTAGCTCTCGAAGAATAAGTAAGGGCAGGAAAGAATGTATGACACCACTTTTTTAAGCATTAAAATGTATTGGTGATCAGACTTCCACTGGCTTCGAACATCATGATGATTTGCGGAAGTGTCAAGTATCTTATAAGTGCATGGCACACACCAGGTCTTTCTGATAGAACAAAAGGGCAGGCTCCATCAATACACGGTCATTGCCACTATGAGTCCCAAATATCAGAAAGACAAGAGCTATAGTTGCCGAATCCTGCAGTTTATTTCAGTTATAAAAATTATTAGAATTCCATCATTAACCTAAATATTTAAGAAAATTAGCAAGATTATAAGAACATATATACTCTTTAATAGTTTGCTAATATTCTCTACCTAAGAAGGAGAAATCATAAAATTTGTGGGAAGCCTAAATCAGTCCATAAGGAAAAAGTCTTCACCTCCTACTCGGAAAGATGCTTAGAAACTGAATAGGCAGGGAAGACTGGACCAAGATCAAACCGAGTACCTGAGCCACCTCAGGGAATAAATAGCTGAGAGGAAGCACCCTGCACCATGAAGGGTTAGATTAAGGACAGAGTAAGTGAAGCACCCCAGAGCATGACAAGAGACTAGAGTCATGTTCAGAAACATGAAAAAAAAAAAAAAAAAGCAAGAGATGGTGAAGAGCTCAGAAGGTACACAGCATTTGTTGACCAGAGTCAACTAAATGAAATTGGAAAGATGAAGGGTAAGAGAATACATACTCACTTTAACAACCGACAGGAACTTAAACATTATCATGAATGTCCACCAGTACTCATCAAAAGGCAGGCATTCTTATGTTGGCAGGCTATGGAGTGGAAAGATGGATGCTCACCAGGCACTGGCGACAGTCAAGCTAGACCGCAAAGCATGGAGATATGCTTGCAGTCGTATCGGAGGAGAAAATGCTAATGGTTGAGTGAACCAAGAGAAAAGCACCCTGAAGAACTGAAGAAGTTTAAGGAAAAAATGGACTGCCCTTTGCACTGGAAGAAGAGATGGAAGATTGACTAAACTTACAACAGAATGGAGACCCAAAGGTGGTAGGCGTAAGAAGGGTCGCCAGCGACGAAGACGGAGAGATGGACTGGTAGCCTTTGCAGGGTCTACATGGCTACGTTTGCCCCAGGGCAGGGACGCATGGTGACACAATGATGAGGCCTTCGTTCTGCAGTGGCTAGAATGAGGCTGTGATGAGGATGGCGAGGAGGACTACATAATTAAAAAAGAGAACATTTTACTTAGACCACGTTACTGGGCGATCATTTATTCTTAAAAGCAACGTATGGTCATACTTCTATGTATATGGTCTAGTACTTTTAATCAACCATAATGTAGAAAAAGACCCTAAATGAATATTGGTTAAAAGTGGGTAAAGTGGAAATATATAACCAACATATCAGGTTATATACCATAGCTTTTGTAAGCACACATCTAAAATATTTCCATATCCTCATTTGCATAGCACAGACTCATGGAATTGATTTTAAAAGCCACTAAAATGGAATTATTATACAAAATTATTTTTAAAAAGGGAATAATATACATAAAACATGTAACACATACAAAACAAACTAAAGATGATGTGTAGAAGGAATCTGTATGGTGACAAGCACTGGTAAAAAGAATTTCTTAAAATAAGCACCAAGGGGGGGAAAACCCAACATTTTAAATAAAATATAAAAGGAAATGAAATAAACCCCTCTTAAGCTGATGAATTGCATAAACTATCCTACTATTTGTGATGACAAGTTAAATGGAAACAATCATAGCCTATCAGCCTTTTAAAAATAAACAATAGTATTATTTTAAATATATATCACTTATTTTGTGCCAGGCACTCTGTTAAGTACTTTACATGCATCAAATTTATGT